CTTCCCCCCGGCGAATCCCAGCTCCCCCCGCGGAGACCCCCCGGGGGTCCCCCAGTCCCCTTCTCCTCCTCCTGCCGCCATGACGGGGGGGGGCTCCTTTTTGGGGAGCCCCACGGCGGCGGTGGTGGCGACGGGGGGGGTATGGGGGGGGGGCAGGACCCCCGCCAGGCGGTGCCGGCGCTCGCAGTGGCCCTTGTGGCGCATGAAGCTGTCGCGCCACATGAACTTTTTGGCGCAGACCCCGCACTGGTAGGGCTTGAGGCCCGTGTGGGTCTTCATGTGCTCCGTCAGGTGGTGCTTCATCTTGAACTTCTTGCCGCAGACGGGGCAGTCGAAGGGCCGCAGGTTGAGGTGCATGTTGACGTGCCGGTCCCTCATGCTCTTGTGGGAGAAGGCCTTCCCGCAGTGACACATGAAGATCTTGTTGCCTTCGGCCCCGCCGGACCCCAACTGGACGGCACCGTGTTCCACCGGGGGGGCCGGAGGGGGGAACACCAAGATTTGGTTGCCCTGCATGTCCATGGGGAGGAGGGAACGCGGTGGGAAGGGGCCGGGCCCACCGGGAGGACCTCCACCGGGACCTTCTTCCAAGGCCTCGTAGGCCGAGGGGAAATCCTCGGAGGACTCGCAGAAGTTCACCTGCTCCTCAAGCTTCGTCGTGGTGGTGGTGGTGGTGGTTGGGGGGCCACCACCGCCACCGCGGGGAGGGGGTCCTTCGTTCCCCCGAGCGGGTCCTTCCACCGGGTCCTCGTCCTCCTCGCAGGTGAGGACCAGGTCCTCCTGCAGCCACTCCTGCTTGACGTAGACCCACTGCTTCTGGGGGACGATGCTGGGCTGGACGTAGAGGGGTCGGCGGGCGCCATCGCCATCCTCGCTGCCTTCCTCCTCCTCCCCCTCCAGCAGCTCCCCCTTCCCCACCTCCTCCTCCTCCTCGGGGAGGACCCCCTGGTGGGGCAGGGGGTACTTGTGGGGCTCGGCCCCCTCGGCCGCCTCGCGGGGGCTGAAGTAGTTGCTGCTGCTGGGGGACTGGTTGTCACTGGTGCGACTGGAGTGGGCACGCAAGGAGGAGGAGGAGGAGGAGGAGGTGGTGGAGGAGGAAGAGGAAGGTCCCGGGGCCATGGGGGCGGCCCGTCCTTCCTTGAGGAGCTCGGTGCACTTGTCCACGATGTGCCACATCTGGAGGACGCTCCCCACCGTCAGGAAGTTGACGATCTCCTCGGGGGCCATGGAGAGGCGGCCGGTGTAGGCCGAGCCCAGGACGGTTTCGAAGGCGCCGGGGTCCATGACGTTGGGGAGGACGATGGAGGTCATGTTCTTCAGCAGGACCTGGTCGTGGAAGTAGGGGGAGGAGGCGGCCAGGACGGCGCGGTGGGCGCGGAAGACGCGGCCTTGGACGTGGATGGAGATGTCACAGAGCTTCCCCTCCACCCGCTGCCGGTTGAGGTTGGCCAACAAAGCGCTGGTGATCTCCGGGAAGTCGATGTGGACCAGGCCACCACCACCACCACCACCACCACCACCACCGCACGAGGTCTCCATGGTGCCCCCCCGGCGGCGACGTCCTGGGGAGGGGGCAGTTAGAGAGGGGCCCCACCACCAAAACCCTTCAAATCCACCCCAAAAGCTCTTTGATCTGCCCCGATTTGTCACCAAAACCCCTCAGCTTGGTCCCAAACTGGTCACCAAAACCCCCCAAATCCACCCCAAAAGCTCTTTGATCTGCCCCGATTTGTCACCAAAACCCCTCAGCTTGGTCCCAAACTGGTCACCAAAACCCCCCAAATCCACCCCAAAAGCTCTTTACCCTGATCTGCCCCAATTTGTCACCAAAACCCCCCAAATCCACCCCAGCTTGAGCCCCCAAAAGCTCTTCAACCCCAACTGGCCACTCACCCCCTTCAGCTCTGCCCCAAATCGGCACCAAAAAGCCTTCATTCTGCCCCAGAATCTTCACCAAATCCTTTCAGTTTTGCCCCAAACCGGCACCGAGTCCCTTCGCTCTGTTCCAGCTTCATCACCCAAAATCCCCCAATTCTGCCCTAAATCATCTCCGGCCCCCCCCAGACCTCCTGGCTCAGCCCCCCCCAGCCCCTATAGCCCCCCACTTACCCTATAGCCCCAGCCCCTATAGCCCCACACTTACCCTATAGCCCCAGCTCCTATAGCCCCACACTTACCCTATAGCCCCACACTTACCCTATAGCCCCAGCCCCTATAGCCCCAAACTCACCCTATAGCCCCAGCTCCTATAGCCCCAAACTCACCCTATAGCCCCACACTTACCCTATAGCCCCAGCTACCCTATAGCCCCAGCCCCTATAGCCCTACTTACCCTATAGCCCCACACTTACCCTATAGCCCTA